TCGGTTTCGTTTCTTTTTCATCGAGTCACGAGAGAAAGGAAACAAAACGCAACCGACGTCGCGTCCCTCGTTGCTCTCGCAGCGACGTGAAGGGAAAAAACATTCGTCCGAAAGAAGAGGCAACGATCGTGTTTCCTCGTTGCGAAGTTTCGATCAGCTTCCGAAACTTGGGAGATGAAAGTTTATCGAATTCAATTTAAACTCGATGTGTCTATGTTGAACGTCCGTTGTAACGTGTATTCAAATAACGTCGGCAAACTTTCTTTCCTTTCGAATGCCTCTGCACTCTTCCCCGGCTTATAGGAAAGAAGTAAAGGGAGGAACTTTTCGCGGAATACTTGCAAGGACGCAACTGTTGCGTCTGCTTTCTCGCCGATTTTATTAATCAATTTTCGTTTCCAGTTCCGCTGACTCGAGAGCAACGACGTTGACAGCGTTTGTCAAACGTCACGATAGACGCCACGTTGGAGCGAATCCCATCCGGAGAGAGAAATCTAACTGACAGAAATCTAGCGAACGCAGGCAACTGTAATCCGCCTCGAAGCAGTCGGAAAATCGATCGAATAGGCGGTCCGCGAAAACACTAAAAAAAAAAAAAAAAAAAAGAAAAAAAGAAAAAGAAAAATGAGAAAAAAACGGAGAAATTTTTTTAAAATCACTGAAAGAGAGAGCAAAGTTCGACAAAGTGATGCCACGTGACGTGTGTTTTCGAAATTTTCAAACAAGTTAATCGAATGTATTCCACCGTGATTGAACGAGAACGCAATATATTTCCGATGGGTTGCGTGCCCTCGATACTCGTTCCATGCGGATGAAAAATTCATTGCTGCAACGCTTCAACCCGAAAATAAAATGTGACGGGAAAATCGAGAGGTAAGGATCGAAATTAAAATCACACGTGTATGTTTAACTTGAACCTCGAGCTTCGAGGGCACAAAAGAAAAAGGAAGATATTTGTCGTCGGCCGTGGATCGATGAAACGTTCGAGATATATCGATATATCGATAGAGGGAGGGTGGCAGCAAGAAGAAATCTCGGGGTGATAGCGTGAGTGATAGCGAATACCCGACTCGGTGCTTGCCCTGAAAACGTGTTTCACGCGCGTTCACACCACGACAGGCGGCTGCCCTTCCACGTGTTAAGTTCGATAATTTAGCAGCGGCCAGGCGATTCGAGTCGATTAGGCGTAAATGAGGACATGCGAAATTAACGAGGGACTGGATCCTGAGGGCGGATGCGCGATGCCTCGGCGGAGAAAGAGAGCAACAAAGAGGGCGAGGAAAGGAGAACGAGGATAAATGGAGTTTGCGCGCGTTGGCCGCTTTTAAAAGAGGGATCTT